CTAAGTTGCTCCACAGACGCCCAGTCGCTTCCTCCCCTGCTCCTTCAGGCCCCTTCGCTCTGCCATGGCCATGCCACTTCGCACTTTGCTTTGCTCAGCTGTGCTCGCCTTCGCCGTGGCAGAGGACACGGTCCAGGCACCCGCAACACAGCCAGAGGAGCTCCCCCAGACCTTTTGGGACAGCTTCGTCTACTGCAAGTGCGGCCTCTCCTGTGCAGAGAGGGATGGTTCCATCGGCAAGGCTTGTGGCTGCCAGATGTGTGTGGAGAGCAACGCTACATCCCTGCGTGGCAGCCAAGGCTCATCTGCCACAGCCGAGGTGAAGGGCACGGCTAAGCCCGTGGAGGCACCCAAGCCCGAACAAGTGGAGCAGGCGGAGAGCGGCAAGCCGGTGGCGATGGAGAAGACGCTGGGTTATGGCTGGAACCTTCCTTCCACCAGCCCTGTCTCATGTAGCTTGGTGATATTCTGGAAGTGGCAGTTGTGCTTTTCATTTGTGGGGGCAAGGGGCTGTTAGACGATAGCTATAACCTTCTTTCAGCTTGACATGTCCCGGCAGGCCCCTGCGGCAAGCGATGTGCCAAAGGGCGCATCCTCGGACTCTGGAACTACTGGTGCTTCCGCTATGAGTGCCGGCCCTGCTGAGCAGCCGTACATCATCTTCGCACCTACAGCTACCGTTTCCGATTTTGTACAGAAGTTTTGGATCCATCCGTGCACCGTCGCGGCCACTCGTTGCAACTAGCGTATGCTCCAGGCTCCGCACTTTTGATTGACGGGTCCAGCCAGAAGAGCTTTGTTCAGCCGCGTTGCACAGTGGAGTGGTAGGATTGCGGAGGTAGTTCCCGAACTTAGGGTCAGGCAGCACAGAGCAGCCAAGACTTGTGAGCAGACTTCGTACAGCATAGTGCAGCTGCTCACACAGTTGACACACCGTGACACTGCGAGGCTGCCAAGCTTGACGTGTCCTCTTCGGGATTGCTCTGCTCCAGTTTCAAAACATGAGACGCCACACTGTTTTGGACGCATGTGTGTTTACAATTGCTACTTGTGAAAAGCCGGCTACCCAAGATGAGACTAGACATTCCTGACGTTTATCTTGTCATCAGTGTGAACGGATCTGCATGGCCTTGTGGAAAGTTTTCTTTTCAACACTTGGTGGCCCCTGCTACACATGCATCCCGTTGATGTGAAGACGCACTAGTGTCCCTTGCGGCTAATATGAGTTCCCATCCCCTTTTCATTTTTTAATTCTAAACCCTAACCCTAGGGATCCAAATTGCCCAATGTCGGTAATATTTGCAGACTTTAGGGCTCAATGTAGATAATATTTGTATACTTGGATCCCTAAATTAAGATGTGTGTGTTTGGGGAGGCCAGGCTGTCCCAGCGTGCGAGTGTCGCGGGAGTCCAGCGCAGATCTCAGCTCCTGCTGCCACCTGTGCTTAGGGCTTATAGGGTTCATAGGGTTTATAGGGTTTAGGATTCACAGGGTTTATAGGGTTGAAAGGGTTTAGGGTTTATGGGGTTTGGAGTTTATGGGATTTAGGTTTTAGGAGTTTGGCAGCGTACTTATACTTTCTAAAAACCCATAGGAAGCCCTACAAGTGGCAAGCAACCAACGGTTAGACAAGTGTTGGTCTATTACGTGATTTTTCGTAGGGGTATGCAGTCTTCCTTGTTGAAGTGTATTAGGGTAGAAAGCGAACACGAACCTGGTTGACCATGGGGGCTTGTTCAATGTTGTGGGTTCCTTTTTTGTGCTGTGCATACCCAGGCCCTGCAAATTAGGCACAACCTGCGCTCCCACAACACGTCGGGCGATGCGTCATGCAACAAATTCGGCCTAAGGGCCACATATGAACTACAGTGTAAACTCCTGAAAGGTGACATATAGGGGATTAGATGGGAGACTACTATGGGTATTCAGGGGGATACTGGGAGTTTAGACTATAACCCCTATAATCCCATATATAATCCCAGTTTCCATTTCATCTTCCATGTTCTTTTCCATTCGACTTTCCATTATAGGGGTTATGAAGGGGTATACTAGGAGTTTAGGTCATAGCTCAGCTGTTTTCATGACCGGCTAGATGAGCATTGATCCACCGAGCTAACCCATATGAAGGTTTCCCGAAATTGGCGGTACTTTTAAGGGGAGTTATAGTGGCAAAATAGTGCAAAAATAGGGATATATACGGCTTAGGATTTCGCAAAATGGCAAAATGAGGAGTACCATTTTTGTGGTACCTATGATATAAAGATGATAGTATTTTAGGGTCTATATTGCGGTCCCCCTATGTGGGGAAATTACCATATCTTTCGGACAGGTTCGTACGGCGAACGAGAGGGCTTATCCCGCTGATGAGAAATGCCGGTCGGTTTATTGGCACGTTGTCATTGCGTGAACTGTTTTGATGGAAATGGTTCCGACCATTGCCAAAACATTTGCTTTACCTGGTACTCACTGATCATGATTGTTACGTATCCTCCAACGACTAGTAAGCCAGCAATACCATCTACACCCCAATGACCAATGTTCAAAGCATACTGCCATGCTATATGAGGGGAATATTTCTGGTTAAGGGGTGAGGGATTGTGTCATTCAGCGGTGGGGACTACCACTGTCCTTAGTGACCCTACTGTTATTGTCCTTTGCAGTCCAAGTCAGATATTGCTTACCGAAGCTGAGTACGGCAGAAAATTTTCAGTATTTATGTGGTTAAGACAAGGGATGTTGGTAAGCTGTAGAGGGGTTTCTTTCGGGGGGATACATATTCCTGACGTACCGTCACATGATTGGGCGGAGGATTTATTATGAGGGGGCCTGGGTAGGTTTATTATTTAGTATGCGGGGTTTGTTCCGTGCTCCTTTCGTGGTGGCAGGGTCCCACATGTACCGACAGTTTGGACAGCTGCGCGGAGATTTTTCCACCCGAACTAGATGCAGATGCGTGCAAGGCCCCATAGCCCAAACTCCTCCAGGGTTGAAGCTCTCTCTAAAGGTTTAGGGTATAGGGTTTAGGGTTGTTGGGATTGCTGCGCCACGAATTGTAGAAGTTCTGGGGGGTATGCATGGGTCGTATTTGCACCCTATAATCTCCTTCCTAATTTAAACCCACCCGCACCGCCCCTAATTAGCAAAAACCTTCCAATACAGTACCAGTATACAATTGGGGGGAATATTCAAAATTAGCGGGGTCGGGAGGTTTACTGGGGCTCTAAACCTATGAATACTGCCTACATTGGGCCCTCGAGTCTAGAAACTGCACCTGCATCAGCTATTTGGAGCCATAATTAGTCTCCTAGTAACCCCCTTTAATAACCCCTATAGCAATCCCCTATATCATCCCATATACACCCCCTTTTAAGGAGTTTAGACCCTAAACCCTATATAACCCCCCTTTGAGGTTTAGCCTATAGTACATTTGGGGACCTTACACCCTGAACCCTACACCCTATATAACCCAGGCTAAAGTACACGTGGAGCCTTTGAGATAAGCACCAAGCTTAGGCATGGACACCAGGATCTTTCGAAATGGGCTTGTTCTTGCCTTGCCCTGAGCTTGTTTAGGGTTTTGGGTTTCGGGGTTTAGGGTTTACGGGTTTAGGGTCTTGGGTTTGAGGTTTAAGTTTTAGGGTTTAGGGTGTAAGCTTTAGAGTTATGGGCTTGGGGTAGGGTTTCATCATTTTCTACTTGCATCTGGTTGAGGCAACAGGGCAAATTACAGCGACCTCACCCGACCTCACTGCAAAGTTTTTTCATAAAAAAGACGCTCGCATTGGCTGAACTTGAGGTTCTGGAATTATAGAATGGCCAAGCAGGGAATAATGTTTGAATGCATCCTTGCAGCATGCATTCTCCACACAATCTGGGTGGTTTCTTCAGACCCTCAAGCGTAAAAGCTCTGTCCAAAATCTTGCACAGGTGATATCTGATACTCGTGAGGTGGGAAATGTATTGTCTTCAGATTGAAGACTTTGCATGGTCCCTATAATATCCCAGTTTCCATTTCATTTTCCATTATCCCAATACATCCCAATATTATCCCTCTATTACCCTATATTACCTTACCCCGGTTTAGGATTGTTTGGGGTAAGGCCTCGGAAGTGTGGGATTTACGGTTTTTTTGGCTCTAGGACTTTTCATTTTCATGGTCAGAATCATACCTGTAATATAGGGGTGTAGGGTTTAGGGGTTTAAGGTTTAGGGTGTTACATAGGAATATATAGGGGTAATCTTGGGATAATATAGGGTAATACAGGGGTTACATAGAGAATATGATAACATAGGCGAACATAGGGTTATATATGGATAATGGAAAAGAAAATGGAAAGTACAGGGATTATTGTGGTTAATTCTTTTCTTGGTGTTCTGGGAACCTAACAGTGTTCACAGGGATCTTACGAGGTGAGAATGGAACAGACCAGAAACTGCCATCCTGCAAAGGACAGGATTCAGTGGCAGGTGCGCGTGTTGCATAATTTAGCCTACTCATCTAAGAGAATTGTAGAAGTTGCATGATTGTCATTGACCCCTAAAACCCTAAATCCATAGGGCAATTTCTCAAGCCAAAGAAAACTCGCCGCCAAAACTCCTGAGGCGCAGTTGGATTCAAACCTCTCTGTGCAGAGCCATGTTGTGGTTGATGTGCCGCAGCTGCCGGGTGCCAAGCTGATACCATGGATTCCCCCTTTTGGGGGGAACCTGGGTAGCATATGGTGGGTGGCTGGTTGCAGACCCCATAATGATACCTGGACTTTGGATGTCCTTCCTTTTTGGGGTTCTGCCCAACATGGTGTTCAAGTGTCTATCCCAAAAAGGAGGGATATTGACAGAGCAGGTAGGGTTTAGGGTACGCCGCAGAATGGTAAAAAGCTTTAGTACGAATAGTAATATTAGCAATAGTCGTGACCTAGAAGTGCATCTCAGGCTGTTGATATGCCAGCATTTCATAAAGAGGCCTTTTACAAAATCCTCCATGGCGGCCATTATTTGAAGGAGAATTCAAATACAAATCGAAGATCTGTACGGGTACCCGTGTGTTGAGATCCCAGACTGCTGAGAATTGCATGCGCACCTGTGTCCTGGATGCAAACGGGAAAGGCACTGCACAGATCTGCATCACGCGCATCCGCAGCCGTTCATCCCTGACGGTTCAAACCGCAGCCGTTCATCCCCACGGTTCAGACTGCATCCTTCGCTTCCGACATGAGTGCCGAAAACCTGTCACCAATTGGCTACGAGGCGGCCGTGGAAAACTTCGACGCCCTTTTGGAAGCCATGGGCGGAACTTCGGCTGAGCGAATGGACTTTGAGTTCACCGATGCAGAGAGGTTGGAGGGGATGGTTAACGACTGCACGACGGGGCTGTTCCTCGTTCTGATGGGGGGTGGTGACATTGACCTGACAAAGCATGCCAACAAGCTGGTGATCTCCGAGCCCCGCACTGACGAGGAAGACTATGAGTACATTCACAGCTTTGTCATCATCAAGAACGAAGAAGAAGGAGTTCAGTGCTTTCAAAACAACCCTGTGGGGATGGACAGTGACAAGGAGCTGTTCGCAGTTGATGAGGAGTTCTGGGCTGGCCTCAGGGGCATGACAGCCCACAGCCGCGCTGGTGTCGTTCCCAAGACTTTCCAGCGCCTCTTCTGTGGCAGCACCGAGCCAACAGCCCTTCCACCTCATGATCGAATGATCGTGAAGCCTTTGGCTTTCTGAGGGCGACAGTGTTGATTGAGCGTTCCTCCGTGCAAATTTGCAAAGCCAGGATGCTTTATGCACAGGCGTGCAGCATGCTTGATACTCTCTGTATAGTTCGTGCTCACATCGTTTTAGACGGCTTTGTCGTCTCGCCTGAAGCCTCCCCTTGAAGATGCAAAACCAGTTGGCCTGGGGTTGGGAACCACCGTAACACCAAATGGCCCAATGTAGGTCTTGTGAGTAGACTTACTTCTCAAAGTAGCTAAGCTTTCTCCACAGACTCAAATCACCCAGTAAACATGCAGAAGTTGATGCCGAATTTTTTTTTGACGTGACCATTTCGCGTCATTAGCTCGGTAAGCCCAAGTATTCCAGGTCAGATGCCATTCAAAGGTTGGGAGTAATGGGCTTTCACTTTTGCTATTCAACTGGCAACTGGTAATATTAAGAGGTGCGAGCCTATGGAAATATCCTGAACTCAAAAATATTAAACTTTGCGAAAAAATAGGAATATGTAAAGAAAACATAGGATTCCAAAATGGGAAAAATAGGAGAATAGCCAATACTATTTGGTTGATTCTGAAAAATGGGAAAAACAGGAAAAACTTGGGAAAATATGAAAAATTAGGAAAATAAGACAAATAAAAGTATTTGCAATCCTAAGTTTTTCTATTTTTCATAAAACGCAGCTTTTCAAAAAAATCCTACTTTTCCTAAGTGTTCCTAATTTTTCCTAATGTTTCGCCAAAATGGGAAAATGAGAAAATGATGAAAATGTGAAAAATGGAAAATTACAAAACACATCGAAATAGTTGACATCCTAGGCTTTTTCAATTTGTTCATGAAAAACATAGGATTTTCAAGAATTTCTTAATTTCTCCTTTATGTTCCTATTTTTCCTATTTGTCGCCGAGAAACAGGAAAATATAAAAAGGTAAAAACTTCGGAAATATGAAAAATTAAGAAACAATTAGAAAAAAGAAAATATTTACAATCCTAAGTTTTTCTATTTGTTCATGAAAAACCTAGGATTTCAAGAATTTACATTTTTTCTTTTTATGTTACTATTTTCCTATTTTTCGCCGAAAAATAGGAAAAATAGTGAAAAAACTATGAAAACCAAATAAATATTTGAGAAATCATCTGTTTTTTTTTATTTTTTCATGAAAAACATAGGATTTTCAAGAATGTCATTGTTTTCCCCATTTTTCGCCGAAAAATAGGGAAAATCTGGAAAATATGAAAAATTAGGAAAAACAACAAATAATATAAATATTTGAAGTCCTAAGTTTTTTTACTGAAAAACAATGTTTTCCTACTTTTTCGGAATTGTTCCTAATTTTTCCTATGTTTTACACCCGTGTTTCCTATGTGTTTCCTATTCTTTTCCTGTGTGTTTCCCTATGTTTTCGTATTTGTTTTCAGTGACCCTAATTTCATTTTCTATGTTTTCCTATTTTTCCTTTCAACATACTCTGACCTTTCCAATGCTTGCACCTCTTAATGGTAATGGTTTTTATTGCTGGTAGAGCTCAAGTACTGAGTTCCGCGCATAGCCATCATCTGTTTCTGACGACTTCTTTCACTGATGCCTGCAATGGCTGTTGCTAAAGTACAGACGGTGCCGTCAAGTAGGCATGGATGCTGTTGCCGCCATCCTGCCATGGCCACGGGATTGGCCAAAACTGCCAAAACCGTTTACCTCAGAGAACCCAGTTTCGCAAGGACGTGTCGCTTCCGGGCAGACATGGAGGCTGGAGCTTCGGAGAGTTTTACGACTCAGGTTTGAAGGGCTATACGGTCTGGATACGGTCTGGATTTTTTCAGATTTTGGGGTTATATCAGGGTTGTGTTGGGGTTATACTGTCTGGAATTTAGACATCTTAGAAATATTTCTTAGAGCAGTTCTCATCATGATGAAGGTTGAGCTTATGCCGAGGGGGAAGCCACAAGGTGAAGATTGCTTATACCCAAGCAAGCCCTGGAGTTTTAGTCGCGAAGTTGCCGATGCGAAGTGCTGTCGTGTATGTTTTTGCATTTGGGCGGCAATGCGCCCCCAGAGATTACAGTCCTTACGACTTGTTACAAGGTTCCTCGACCTGAGACCCGTAATTCTGAACAGCACCAACCTGGTTGCAGTACCTGCACATAGCATGGTCCCATGCACCGTTGCTGGACCCCAAACTCAAGGCCGCAAAGAAGCGCAAATGCTTGTGTCCGTCACCTTTGAGGCTCTGTGTTGTGAAGGTTTGTTGGTCATTCCTTGGCCCAAAAGAACCCTGATGCTCTTCTCCAGGACTGAGCCGCAGAAACACCTCAACCAAAGTCCCATACAATACACAATACCCTTACCCTAGGGCTCCGAGTCGAGAAACAATACCTACATTGGCCCCAAAGTCTATGAATGTTACCTACATTGGGCTAAACCCTAAACCCTATTTGGAGCCCTAGGTTAAGGCTTGGCCCCACGACCCTCGACTGAAATTCGTAGACTTGAAATCCTCAAGACCCATACCATGAGCCTGAATCTTCAAGCCCTAAACCGATGTCCAAAGTACTCCCCACTACAAGACAGGGAGTATTGGAAAGTCGCTCAATCTCCCAAACCCCTAGACGACAAGGAATTCAAGGGTCTCAGCGTAATCCAAGATTTGGAGGTGGGTGGCCGCCTATTCCTGGATGAGGCCAGCCAATTTCCAAAAATTGTGATGAAAGAACAGCAAAGGATTTAAGCTTAATGATGGTTAGCAGGGAACAAGGAAATGCAACGTATGTCTTATGTTCCCTTTTTCCCGACTACCCACCAGTGAGTATAAGAGTCTCACTCCACAAGTTGTGCCAAATACCTTCGCTACAGGATTTGGAATGAATGTAGTTTGGCCCGAACTTATATGCTTGCTTTGTGTGGCCATTTTGGTTGTATCGAGTCTTTGCAGGGTTCCTAAGAAACGTTGGTGAGAGGGGTTGTGCCCATTTGGTTATTTTAAAGATGGAAAATGGACCAGATTGAATTGTTCCCTTAGTGCGTTACTATTTGTGTAGTTAGTTCTCACACTGATTATTGTGACTATGTCTAGCTTTCGTTGCTTATCTTTAGCTAGGACGTGATGCCAAGATTTGTTGGGTTTTTGTGTTGCTCTTGAAGCTAGCTGAAGTTAACTCGTTCTGGGCGCTCATTTCCATGTCGGAATGAGACTCCTGCCACGAGGAGCAGCACTGGGGCGACCAAAAGAGAACGGGAATGTCCAAAAATGCAGTGCAAAATCTTGAAGTGTTCATTTCTGGAGCATTCTGACCTTGAAGGCTTACACTCCAGCATTTTGTTTGGACAGGTGCATGGTCCTATGGATGCCCGCAGGGGCCTTAGGTGGGGGCTTATCGGGTTTACAATCACAAGATTTAAGGTTTTTGTGGGGCTTTAGCCATAACGTTTGGGGCTTTTAGGATTTAAGTAGGGCTCAGACTTTTGAGTCGAGATGTCCAAGGCACACGGGGCAGTGACTTTACTAGTGATAGTATAGGGACCCAACATTTTGGATAGGATGGCTTTGGATGCTACAGCTTATCTTGGAAGGAATGCTTGTTCCTTGGAAACAAACCGAGACACAAAGTCTGGTCCGGGATAATGCACGGCTTTGCTGGGTATCCAGGAGGGGGCTGAAGGTGGCCTGAGTAGCCATCACAGGCCAAACAAGCCCTTGACTACCCAGACCCCCTAAAGGATCCAAAAACGGGACCCCCCCCCCAATAATCCCCTAGTTTCCCCAATGTAGTAATGTGTTTATGTTGGGGGGGGGAGGGGGGGGGTCCATTTTTCGGATCCTTTAGTAATAGGGGGTCTGGGTAAAGCATGATCATGAATGCATGCGCCATTTCATGATAGGAGCTTTCCTCGCCTGGAAGACGCATAACCTTTTGAAAGCCCTGCCAAAACCTCCCGAATGCAAGGGTATCGTGGCTAAGTTCTTGATTTAGAGTACAACGCTTCTCCCTCGTTTAATGCATCAAAGCTGCCTATGTATGCAAGAAGAGTGGCGAACATAGGCAGAACTTATACCCCCCCCATGTTATTACTGTCCTATGTGCCCCCAGTTTCCATTTCATCGTCCATGTTACTTCCCATTTGATTGTCCATGATTGGGGGAATATCATTATATATGACCACTACATAATACCTGTTTGTTTGAGACACGGCTTCCGCATCATGCAGGTTGGACGCATTATGCCTCATAGTAAGAACAATACTGTAGTAAGAATAGCAATAATGATAGTACTAACTGTAGTACGAATACTAACAATAAATACTACTAATAGTAATATTGTTTGTCAGAGATGCTCAGAGATCGAATGCCCGGGACCTTGGCTACAAGCTGAGGCATCGGTCGGGCCACAAACGGAGAGATGCATCTCGGCAAGGTTGATAGAGAGGTGAACGAGTGCTTTCTGTTGTAGTAATTACACACGTTTGCATGTAGCATGGCTGGGGTTGTACACATGGCTCCTATAGGGTGCCTGCAATTTTGAGGCATGCCCATGTGCATTCAGGTAGCGAAAGCGCAAGAAGGACAAAAACAAGTCCTTAACGCAGAGCTGTGAAGGCCAAAAAACGGTATGCCGCAGCACGTACGTCACTGGCAACTATTTGTGCCAAGTGCGGGTAGCTAATTTTTTGAAGGTCTGAGTTTGGAGCTTCAATAGCTTGCTTCGTGGCTTGTAGGATCTGCCGCGTACTGGCAGGACTTTGTGGTCAAGCTCTCCGGATGCGATGTTCAATAAATTCTGGGTGTTCAATGGATGTTTCCCGGGGCTGGGTGCATCTGCGTAACTACCAAAGCTTCTTGTGACAAAAAAATAAACCTTAAGCTCATTAACCCAAAGCCCTATGGCTTCTTCCACTTTTCGGAGGGTTTCCACCTCGTCCCGAGTTTTGGCCCTCTAGTGAGCCGTTTTCTGAACTCGAGTTGAATGCCAGTTCATGTCAAGCGTACACCAATCAAAGAAATTTCAGGAATTCAATG